AATTTTTGATTTTTTTTTATATATATATATATATATATATATATATATATGTATATATATTAAATACAATTTCCATTAAAAAAGGACGTACATTTTTTTTTTGTAAAAAATTTAAGCAAAATATTAGGGCTGTCAATTTAACACGTTACTCAAATTAACTAGTTATTGAAAAAATAACATGTTAAAATTTTTTACGCAATTAATGCATCCGCCTCGCCCTGATTTTATACAACAGTTCAATAAATTACTTGTTTTTGCTCAATTTTGCCAATGCAGATATTACCTATAAAGCCACAGCGGAATCATCGAGCAACACACAGTGGTCATACGTTTCTGAATGAATCCGTGTTTTGAACAAAGCGGGTGAACCAATGATTCAATGGCCCATTCATAAAGAGCGGCATTTACTTAATTCCTAAATGAATCAGCTGTTTGAACAAATCGAATAAGTGAATGGCTCAATGACTTAATAAGACATTTACTGCCATACACTGGCGGCTTTAGTTTTGTATTTAGAGTATCGTTTCATTAAAAAATAATTTCATATTTCCATATTAATAAAAAATCTGAAACAAAATTGCTATTAATAAAAAGCTATTTAAAGGAAAGTTCATTGTTTGGAAGAGAGCAGCTCTGTCATTTGGCTAAATATCCTCTTTTGTGTTACACAGAAGTAATGTAGAGCAAACGCGAAAAAGGGGGGGGGGGGGGGGGGGGAGGTTAACACAATAATGTCTTTAAATTATGTTTGGGGGTCATTTCAAATTAATTTGTGATTAACTAAATTAATTAATTGACACATAGTGTATTTAATTAATTAGCCCTAGAAAATATGTATATTTATAGGAATATAAATTAGCATAAATTTGGTTAACACTGAAAAAATATGTAATATAAGTATAATTACTTTAATGTAATTCCCACATTTTCATGTTATTGGTGAGCAGTGGAGTCAGTGTTCTGTTATCTGGGTGAGTGCTGTAGACAGGGCTTGGAAAAGCATTTTTCTGAGATAATGTGAGGCCCGAGCTTTGGTCAGATAAGGAACAATTCACTGTGCTCCGGCGTCCTGCGTGCTGATAAGAGACTATCTCTGTCTGACATCCGTTCAGCCACTCTGCATGAGAATCAGAAGCCATCAGGAGGGACAGACAGACGGCAGCATGAGACCGAGACGGCAACATGCGCCTGTGTTCTTGGGGGAAAGGACACTAAAAACAATTGTCTTTTTTGGATGTGTACTACCACTAGCATTGTATTATGAAAATCGTTCAGTAACCCCAAAGAGCATTTGGAAACTTAAACTAAACTTTAATATGTATGAATGTCATTGCATTATACAACAAATGTATCAAAAAATGAAGTTTTGGTCACTGAAATTAAATTTTTCCACTCAGCACCCCTGTACTCATGTTACTCATGAGAACACAGATTATTATTAGGTTTTAAGGCTGTCAGTTGATTAAAACATTTAATACAATTTTCGGTGTTAACCTAATTTATGTTTATATAATATGTTTTTCTTTAAAAAAAGTTGGATTAAAAATTATTAATTTTTTGTACCAATTTTGGTAAAATAGCAAAAACTGTTGTACGTTTTTTATTTGAATAGTTTTTAATTTAACTAATAAATAATTTATAATAATAATTATAAACTGTCAATCACTTGAGTTCAACACAAGCTTACTCCTGCTATATTCAAAAAAATCTTTCTACACTGCACAGTGAATCTCTTATTTATGCTTTTTTTGGTTATAATGAAATAATTTTCAAGAGTGCACAACTCGAATCTCACTGAACAAAAACGATTATTTAGCAGATTGGCTTACTTATTGTCTGTTTGTCATTGCGTTCACATGGTCAACTGCAAAAACAAAATAGAAACCCTTGACACTCTTCATGGAGCGTGCACACAAATACGTACATGAGCGTTGAAAGCATCTCTGTAATACTGAAGAAAGGCTGGTATGGTTACATTTTACTGGTGCTTATGACTACACTATGCTTCTGGGTTTCAGATTTCTCTGAGAAGTCAGAAAAAAATGACAGCAGTGCTTTGGGCTTCCAACTCATCACAGGCTCAAGGGTCATTGTCCTTGCCTCCAAAACGTCCCGTGAGTTCTCACACACCAGCACACACATGCCCAACCTATGTCAACGACTTTCTGCTATTTTAAGGTTTCTGAAAAATATACATTTTCAGACTCCTCCTACAGTGTTCATTAAATCTTTACCAAATTTGATCTTACTGGATTATCTTATCCAAAACTTGTGTAATAGATGTTCTCATATATTCAATGAAAAAAATCAATATGGAGTTTTCATCATTTCGGTTATCTGTTGAAACTTAATTTTGTTATATGTCATTAAAACCATGCTCTGAAGATTCCAGTTTTGGCACAGGTCCTACTGACCAAGAAATTGAAAATATATATTTGTTGAGGCTTCTGAATACTTTCAAAACTCCACTGTTCTCTTTGTGTCATGATATCCATGTCAGTGATATTTGTGTGTCTTTAATTTTTTATTATTATTTTTTAAGTCTTGTTTTGTCTCTGCTTTTGTAATCTAGTAGTTTTTGAAGAATTATTATTATTATTCAGTTAAATGCCACTCTGTAAATCAATTGCTTTAGAAAATGCGTACTTCAGATTGAAGTTCAAATTTTCAGACTTTTTTTATACAATTTTTCTAACTTAATGTTATTGCAAAGAAGAAAAAAAATCATTCATCAGTTAATTTAATTAAATTATTAAATTTATTAATATTAAATTAATTTAATAAGGGCCTGTGCCTCCAAAGCAGCTTTTCTTTTTGACTGACATCACCAAGCCCAACCACTCCCCTCCAATCAGCTGTCATAAAAGACCACTTTTCTCCATTCACTCTGTTTCTCGTGGTTAACATCAAGTCCTGCCCTATATTTTCAAGTGGAATATCCTTGTTACTCATAAATAGATTTTCTGAAATGTTCATTTTATGACAGTATAGTTGAACTGACTTGAATGACTTAAAGGGGTGGTTGATTGCGATTTCACTTTTTTAACGTTAGTTAGTTGTGTAATGTTGCTGTTTGAGCATAAACAATATCTGCAAAGTTACGACGCTGAAAGATCACTTTTAAAATTATGGCAGTTCAATGCCTACAAAAACAGCTGGTAGGGACTACAACAAGCTACTTCCCTGGTTTGTGACATCACAAACCCTGATAAACCCCGCCCCCGTGAACATGCAACAAATGGGGCGGGGCCATGTTGCGCTGCTTTAGAGAAGAGGAAGGGTTGTTGCCATGGCGTCAAAACTTGGGGTGCACGAAAAAATCGATTCTTACATGAATCGCGTTTCTGTCTTCTAACGATTCTAATGAATTCACAAGTTTCAAAATCAAAGTTCTAAAGCAGCGGTTCTTAATACTGTTCCTCATGTCCTCCTGGTCTGCTCTGCATCGCTCTCTCTCATCAGCTCCATCAATGGACTGTGTTCCAATTATACACTTTATGTGTATAGACAGACAGATATTTTTCACATAGCTAGAAGCGTTAAATATGGATGCGCATGCGGTTGCCATGCTGTATCACAGCTTTAATCAGGATAAAACCGTATATTAAAAGCTAACTTAAGCAGTAGCATTTACAAATAACAGCTTATCTAAAAGTATGAGACAACAACAAACAAAAACA